TCTTGTAATGTAAATATATGTTTCTGAACATCTTTTTTTAAAATTATTAAACTTCTCAAGAGTGAAAATATGTGAATATATATGAATCATTTAAAAATTTATCAATTACAAAATAAATTTTATATTCAGTAATATGAAATAAACATTTTCATTTTGTCCCTACACTAAATTAAAATCTAATAACTATATGAAAAAATAGTAACATTAGTTAAAAGTCATATTTATATATGTAAGTATAAAATTTATTAGAAATACATCTATTGCACATTAATCCTTTAGTTATAACATTATAAATTCTCTTAGTTATTACTAATTATTACAAACGTTATTCACACTCTTTAACATTCTTTAGTTATAATATTATGAATTCTCATAGTTATTACATTAATTATTTCTATCTTTCATCTTTTCTTGTATTAACTTTTGACCAATAAATTTTCATATTATTACACCGCCCCTATATATGTGATAACGCGATGTTGTTATTTTTCCCTAGATAAATCGTGCTTGATTGAATAAATTGAAAATCGTTTACAAGTATATGAACTACATCTTTGTTGGGTGTAAGATAAACAGGTGATTATAAACTCATTGATAATAATATCATGCAATAACCTAAACATATCAATATTCTATTACACTTAATTTCCGTATGACTATATTTTTGAACAACAAACCATACGGGCACAAATTAAATATCAGTAATATAGGAGACTATTTGTGCAAACTTTTAAAAAATTACATTTAGAAAATCTAAATAAGAAATTTGGTCAAACTATAACTTAAACACTAAACTCAAATGATAAAATCACAATTCGCAAAACTTTCTTCCTCTCTCAATAAATATCTTTAGTTGAACAACAACGAAAATAAATTTTCTCTCTATGGATTCTCGAAAGCCTTTTACTGATGTTAACACCCCTCAAATTTCATTAAATCATGGAGAAAACTTTGGTATCTATGTCTTCATTGTTTGTTTTAATTTGTGAAAGATTTAGCTTGTATACATTATTTATATAAATTTTTAAAACTTTATTGCAAAAAAAGGAATTTTTTCTCAGTTAACTATGGATAGTCAAATAACTATCTTCGATTTATGTATACAGTCAATCAGAGCCAACAACAAAAACGTCATCTATTATGTTATAACTTATAAAATAAAAATTATTATACAAAGATTAGTTCTAAAAAATAAAATGTAGGTGTTCTGTTCACATGTTCATATGACATCTACACAGTTTAACGTGGAGTACACGTGCAAAGCACATCTGATTAGATGATAAGAAAAATACACGATAAATATCGTCTATAAAGTAATATTACTGAAATACGACTAATTACATGATTGAACTTCATCAAATTGAAATAAATATATGCATTATTGCATTTAACTAATAAAAATTTTCATTGACCATCTTTATAGATTCGCGTGAATAAGAGATATATATGACGATCCACATTGGACATTCATAAAAGAATCTGCAATATTATTTTGTGCAAAGCTTATTATTCAAATCTTTAGTTCAATAAGCAATACTATTTACTATAACATATATTTTTTAAATTGGTAATCACGTGCAATGCACGTGTCGAAAAACTAGTATTACCTTAAAAGCATGAAATCCCTAGCTTGAATGTTAAATTATAATAGTACCCCATTAGTATATTTTTTATATTTTATATTATATTACATTTATTTAAGTATTTATATTTATATTATAAAAATATTAAAAGCATACACCTTTTCACATTGAAGGGTTGAGACTTTTTCAAAGAGTTGTGACTTTTTCGATGAGTTGTGATCTTTTCAAAGGGTTGTGACTAATCCAAAGGGTTGTAACTTTTCTGAAGAGTTGTGCCTTTTCTGAAGAATTTTGTCTTTTCTGATAAGGTACAATAAACACATGTTCATACTACCTTTTCTGATAAGACACAATAAGCACGTGTCTTTTCTGAAGAATTGTTTCTCCTTTGTGACTTTTCTAAAGAGTTGTGACTTCTTGAATGAGTTGTGACATTTCTGAAGAATTGTGACTTTTCTGAAGAGTTGTGCCTTTTCTGAAGAATTGTGTCTTTTCTGATAAGGTACAATAAACACATGTTCATACTACCTTTTCTAATAAGGCACAATAAGCATATGTCTTTTCTGAAGAATTGTTTCTCCTCCTCCTCCTAAAACACCTAATTTAGTACATATTCTATATTTATTTATATTATAATATAAAATATACTAAAAGGACATTGTTTCACCACGAAGGATTGTGACTTTCCAAAGGGTTGTGAACAAATTTTCTAAGTTTTCTATTATTCTTCTTAACACCCAATTTAATACATATTTTATATTTTATACTATATTTTTTTTAAGAAACTTTATGGATCATGATCTAATTTATTGATTATCTCAAAGAAGCTGGATAAGTACTAATACCAAAAGCCTTAGCCCGAATCCTACAAAATATTTCATACTATATATATTTATATTATAAAGTATATTAAAGGCACGCACCTTTTCGCATCGAAGGATTGTGACTTTTTCGATGAATTGTGACTTTTTCAAAGAGTTGTAACTTTTTGGAGGATTGTGACTTTTCCATATCGGCCAAACTTTACAATATTTTAGAGATATGATTAATACAATTATATTTTAACTCCTAAAAAATATATATTAACAGGTACAAGTACCATATCAAGTTGTAGCATAATTTATTCTCTCTTTGTTGTCTCTTCTTCTATTCTGATTCCATCAAGAATGCTTTAAAAGTTTTCATATTAAAAAAACGCAAAAGTAATTCAATATAAATTCATAAAAGATAAAATTTTATAGATCATTGAATAAAACACAAATGTAAGTTGTCGAACAAACTGATGACAGAAGGGAAAATCACACAAAAAATAGGTACGAACCAAAAAATGATCATGGTTGTGATAAGTTGTTTAAGAATTGAGCAGTTGAAATAGCTTTTCTTTTGACATGTTGAATGGAGGAAAAAATTACAAGGAAATTATAGTTTTTTTTTGTGAAGATCCAAAGTAGACTTCCAAAGAATTGACGAGTTCCACAGAAATTAGGGATGAAATTTGTCACGAAGAAAAAGATACAAGAACATGTATGATTTGCCTAGTTTTTATAGTTAGTTCCTTAAGAGACCCAACTAAAAAGATACAACAGTATGAAGGGACACAAGAGTTGAAGAAGCGGGTTTAAAGGTAAAAATAAAATAGGGGTAAAAACCTAAAAGTACGAAGGAAAACATAAAAATAAACTCCTGAATTCTAAGTATATATTTGATCAGATTGAGATAATTTGGAGGCTGGAAAGAAGGAAAAGGTTGTAATTTGACTTTTTGAACTCTAATTAAGGAAAGTGAAGACTTCTTTGACTCTTTATGAAATGTTAATGAAATATTTGAGTGAGTAAAGGGGGTAATGGATTAATGGGGGTCCCCTATAAATGAGATGACGAACATTCATGCGGGTACAAGTGTCATGTTATGGATTATTTGATTATTTAGGGTTTGTGAGCATGATTTGAAGGATATGTGATTTATATTGATTCATATACATGTTACTTTCTGATAATACAAGTGGGGGAGATTCTGAAAGCTCCTTTATGAGAGATGCTAAAATAGGGAAGAACTAGAAAATAACTAAAGCTTCTTGGAATTTCTTGGTATCTTATTTTTTATTCTCTGCAAAGCTTCCTTTATTGGTTTAACAATTTAACCATACCTCAACATAAAACAACAATACACTTGAGTACTAAAAAGGCTATCTCATAGCATGTGACTATGCTCTAACGTCTTGCTTGAAACTAATTGGAATAGATAGGTGCACAACTCGAGATTGATTGTTGGATTTTTGAGTGTCATTATAATAGCTTCCAGCTATAAAACAACCTCTCTTGAGCGAGGATTTTCTTGGGTGTCCAGTTGCGAGTTTGTCTTTTGGGGGCCAAATACCTCTAATCTCTACCCAGGCAGATATTCAAGGCTTCCTATGACATAATGGGAGAGCCCTTTCCGTTCTCCTCAGATCCTGCAAACGTTCCTTTGTTCTTGGGCTTGCTACGTGTCATCATGTGATCTGCTCTTGTTAGTAGATCCGATTTTTTTCCCTACATTAATCAATTACACAAAAAATACATTTCAATCAAAATAGACTAGTTCCAACTTCTAACTAAGTGGAGTAATTTTTTTGTACTAATACTATTTTATATATCTGATTGTATTAAAATAATAATAATAATATATATAAATTGTATATGTAACTATATAATTCAGTATGATGTTAATATTTTATTTTATAAATATCAAATACCAAAATATTTTTAAATGCATACCAAATATCATAATGACGAATTGATGTATAAAAAAATTCAATTTCATATAGCATTTGGTATCTACCATGACATGCCCACCCCTACTCAAGACCATAATCATCTCTTTTGACAAAGTAGATACTTTATTTGCATTCAGTGAATGCTCCAATTCTAATTTAATTGGTGCATAATGCAATCAAATATTTAGCACTTAAGGGTCGTTTGGTTGAATGTATAAGAAGAGTGTTGAATGAGGTATATTAGTTATGTTGGTATTCATTGAGCTCACATTAATTATGCTAAGATAATTTCTCATGTGGTGTCTGATTTAATATATTAAAAATAACATGCATCACTTTTTTTTTTAAAAGTTTTATACAAAAAATATCCTCCACAAAATAGTGGAAAGGATGTGGAAAAGATGTTGAAGAAAATTGTCTTTACCATGCTAATATGCATTAAAAACCCTTACATTGCTAATATCATGATTTCCCATGTATTAATTTATATACATAGCATAATACCAAATAGAATGTGCATTAGTTAAACATAGAGTAAAAATATATCAAACTAGGTATTTATAATATAAAAAGCTAATGCATGAATTATTTTTTGTAATGCATCCTATCAAACAACCCCTTATTGTATATGTAATTGATAGAGGTTAAAAAAGTTGGAGAAATTGATACAACAAGTTCCTACATTGACACAGCAAGTTCAACAATTACACCCAAAAACAAGATATTAATACATTTCCTATGATGATCTGTTAGCAGCATATAAAACAGAACAAAGAGGAAAAACAAAAACCACTCTTGAGATATTCAGTATCATCAAAAGTAACAATATATATATATATATATATATGATGGCTTGATCATTTTTATCAATCGATTGGTGACCTCCAGTCAAGATTTTCCTCAGGATATCCCTTGATTAGTCCTTGAGGAGGAATGAAGGAGTCAATAGAGAGACCGGGGACGTTGAATGCAACATCATCGATGGTATATGTCTCTTCCATTCTGGTGATTGCAGGCCCAGACTTTAAGTTATCCCCAAATCTTGTGATAATCACACTTGAACAACCTGAATGTGCAATCATCACGCCTTCTACAGGCCGATAGTCCTCCACTTTTGTACCCATTGTTGTTTCCCAATACGTTGGAGGGGAACCGGGAGACTGTATTCTGGTCAAGTATGAGTCTTCTACATAAACTAGCAATCCACTTCTTTGGCTGAAGTAACCAAACACGACATGCTTGATCATCTCAGCTGTATTGTCACTCCTTTCAGTTAAGTCAGGATGATTGGCAGATAACTTTAGCACAAAGGAATCAATACCCAATATATTCTTTTCACCAATGTATTCGGCTGCAGAGAAAACTGCTGCTACAGCGAGTGGATCAAGCCCCTACAGACCAATTCTGTGTTAGGAATAAGAGAGGAAAGGAGTTTTTCCTTTAGCAGGACTAAGTTGTTAGTAGGCACAGAAACGTCTCACCTTTAGATCAAACCCAAATCACATTTATTTGGGTCGAAGTTGATAGTATACTAATCTATGTTGCTCGGACTCTTCAAAAGATGTCTACGGGTGCATGTCAGATACTCCAAGAGTAGTGCATTTTGAAGAATCCGACACGGGTGCGGCAACAATTTTGAAGAGTCCGAGCAACATAAATACTAGAACTACCCATCGACATTTTTGGAGAGTCCGAGCAACACAGGTCACCACAAAACAAGCTTTTTGCCTGATTAATACAAAAGGAAATTGGTTCTTTTCTGAAAAAAACATGTACTTTGCCTTTATAGTATTGTCATAAAGTTGTGAAATAAGTGGTCACATGTAACACCATCACCAAATGTGTAGTGAGGTAGGGAGTAACATGGGAAAGGTAATAGAAAAACAAGATCCATATTCCCATTTACCCTTCACCATAAAGCTAAAAACTTGCCTATTAAGTAACAGTTTAAAAAATTGAGTTAGGAATATGGGGTGATGATGTGACTTGCCTGAAGAGCTCGACGTAGAGGGCGTATAGTGCCTTTGGCAGCATGAGAACCTAGCCAAGGTGTGTGTCTCCAAGCAACATTACCATCACTACCAGCTACAACTTTGTGAGCAGCAACAACTAACTCAATTAACCACTTGTTAGGTACCATTTGCCACAAAACAAAGCATCCCTTTTGTGAAATAGTACTAGCAGGTGAACTAGCATCCACTATAGCCATTGATACTTTTCCACTTACATACATATTCTTTACTACCCCTTGTATCTTCCTACACCCACTTGCTGCTGTGAAGTGTTCAATTATGTATTCAGCTGATGACGATACCTATATTCATTTATTAATAACCAAATACGCATTCAATATTGTACAACAAATTTAATATATTTGTCTATACACAATGAATACATACTAAATTAAACATCTCAATCCCCAATCCAAAGGTAATTTTTGAACAATTCAAAGTATTATACTAGTTTCAAATTGATTTTCTTTTTGCATCGAGCCCCACAATGTGGACTTAACTATAAAAAAAAAAGTGCAAATTGTTGATAGTATACTACTGCCAACAAGGGGGTTGTGGTGAAGTAATAAATACTCTTTCACCAGGTCTAGGTCTCGGGCTAATTCAGATTTAGTCGGGTTCAAATGTGTGGATCCCAAAATATGAGCGAAAAAAATGAAAGAAAAAGGAATGTTTACTTACTTGAGAAATGGGTATTTTAGGATTGGAAGAAACAGGGAAGAGAGGGCATCCAAGAACACTTAGTAGAATCCTGAGGTCAGATTTCTTAGTGATGAAGATCAAAGAGAAGTGAGTTTTAAGCCAATTTCTCCATGAGGAAGAAGAAGAAGAAGGATGAGTTTCTTCATCATTTGTTGGTACTTCTGATAATGGTGCTAGACGAATCATTTCTTCTTCTTCTTCTTCAGTTGAACCAACAATACTCTGATATTTTTACATCACCATACATATAAGCACTTTGGATTTGTAGAAAGGATTTGTTGTTTTAAATACAAATACTATTCTACTCTTTCTCTTTCTTCTTGCTTTTCTTCACGTGCACCCAACCTCGCGTCACACTTACTTGCCAATACCTTTTTACTCACATACTTTCACAATATGTCACATAACATAATAAGTGGTTTTAAATTCTTGTACGAGCATGAGGTTTTTAATAAAAAATTGAGAAAAGTATTATAAAAACATTCTTAAACTTGACAAGAATTTAGGGATATATTTCACTCAAGTGGTGTATTTAAGCTTAATTAGTCAAGTAGATGGGTTTTTTAAGATTATCCATAGTTCAAGGACGAAACTAATAAACTGCACTAAGTTTGAGGGTATTTTCAATACTTGTCTTTTTTTCTAAAAGAAAGAATTATTTAGTTGAGACTTGGAGTGTTGATACGGACAAAAATGTTTTTAATTCTATTTTGATTGGCTAAAATGTTTGAAAAATATTTTCTCTAGTTAAATAAGTATTTTTTTAAATGAGAAAAGTAACTTTCCTAACGAACGTATGAAAAAACAAGTTGCATAAGTGGAATTCTCAATTTATTATCTCATCCCCACCAATTCAATCCCCCAACCGGCTCCACACCTTGACCATCACATCCCGTCTTCAATATATATATCTTTATATATATATATATATATATATATATATATAGGCACTTGAAATAATATTTTTCTACTTACCTACTAAACATGAAAAAAATAAGTACGATGCCAACTTGTTTTCGAAGAAAATCATTTTCCATCGTGGGAAACACACCCTTTGAGGAAAGTGAGAAGGTTAGGTAAGAGTTTCTTAAGTTGAAAACCAACATTCTAACCGGTAGGAGAGGAGTTGTTTTAATTAAGAATAGTATACTAATTAAATGTTGTACATTATTTGTCATTGTTTTATGACACAATTAAGACCTTTTAATTCTTAAGCACTTCTAAAATATTGAAACACAACTAACTCTTAAGCTAAATTCACGGTTTGCCAAATATATATATATATATATATATATATATATATATGAATGCCACGCTGTAATTTCCATTAAGTATTAATTGAACTAATGAAGAAAAAAACTCTAGTTCTAATTTTTCGAAATAGTTTAAAGGTGATTTAAATCTATTTTTTCTTTAAATGAGATCATGCACTACTTTGCACCTAAGGGTGTGACCTAGTGATCAATGAAATGGTTGAAAACCTCAAGATTTCTGATTTAAAACTCAGCGAAGATGAAAAACACTAGGTATTCTTCTAATCTGTCCTAACCTTGGTGGACATTTGTTATTGGTGGGAGGTGACAGGTATCCGTGGAATTAATCGGAGTACGCAAAAGCTAGCCCGGACATTAGGACTATCAAAAAAATATCCCGCACTACTTTGTAGCCAAGGATGTAACCTAGTAGTCAATAAAGTGGTTGAGACTCTGAGGTCTTATTTTCAAAACTCAGCGAAGATAGAGTATAAAAAAATAAAAAACACAAAGTGATTCTTCCTATAACCTTGGTGAATAAAGTTGTCTGTTATTTGTTATTGGTGAAAGGTGACAGTACCCGTGGAATTAAATGAAATATGCAAAAGCTAGCTCAGACACCAAGATCATAAAAAAAAAAATCTGCATTACTTTGCACCCAATGGTGTGGCCTAATGGTCTTAGGTTTCAGATTCAAAACTCAACAAAGATAAATAATAATAATAATAATAATAATAATAAAAGAAAACTAAATGTTTCTTCACATCTGTCTTAGCCTTGGGCGGACAGAGTTAGCACGTATTTGATGACAAATATCCCATAAAATTAATCCGAACACTATGGTCATAAATAAAAATCCTGCACTACTTTATTAAAGCGCCTTCACTTGGGGACCCACTACGGTATTGGGCGTCGCATGGAAATGAGAAAGGTACTTATGCCTATTTATTCTACACAAGATTCCATAACACAAAGTCAAGATCTATTCTACCTTAAATTTTTGAAAAATCCTATTTTGCTTAGTATTTTTTTTAAAAAAAAAGCCTTAATACATAATTAGCTTCTTAAATTAGTTAGAATATTTTAATTATATACTCAAATTAAGTCATTTTTCACTTGAGCAATCGAACCCTTGATAAAATGTTTAAATTAGACATTTTCGATTTATAATTTGGAAAAACTTTTATGTGTGTATATATTCATTCATATATTAAATAGGTAAGTTGATCATATAAATATGTCATCTCCTTAATTATACGCATCAATCTCAAGTAGAAAATATATAAAGCTTTACGACTTATTGAAGTATCAACTTGAAGTTAATAGAAATCAGACAATAATGCAAATGCAATATCATTAATTAGATTCGATCGATTACTTTTTTTAAAAAAAAAGTTGTATTATATTAATTTTTCTATTAATCTATTATTAATATGCATAATAGAAAAGTTATCTGTTAGTCTACTAAAATGAGTGTGACATCCCAAAGTAGAGCAAATATGCTTGCAATAATCACAACTTATCTTAATATATAATATTTTGTAGAGTGAGGGTGACACTCTCAAGCAAAAGCTAAGCCACCGTGTGGTTATACTCAATGATGTTTAATTGCATTATATACTTTACGATTTTCATTGTTTAGTTTACTTCAATTTTTAGTTCAAGCTTGAAATATTCATTTTTAGTTTTTTTTATTTAGAAAAAAGGAAGAAAAGAAGTAAAATATTCATTTATTTTTTTTTGACAAATTACCAAGTTGTACCACAGTGCTGGTTAGATGATTTGCAGAGCAAGTGGTGGATATATTAGTAGGTAGTGGAGTTGAAAATAGTCAGGTACATAAATGATGCAAGATTTAGAATTTTTAATTACATACGATTTTTTTTCTTTTAAGTATTGAAAATATCTTAAACTCGACGTAAATTATTAGTTTCATCATTAAATTATTGACAATCTTAAAAACACATTTTGTTTGACTAACTGAATTTAAATACACCTACAATCTTACAATATGAATTAAATACACCCCTAGATTATTGCAAGTTTAAGAGTATTTTCAACATTTTTCTCGATTTTTTATTAAGAGTTCTATGCTCTTACAAGAGTTTGAAACTACTTGTTATGTCATGTGGCAGATTGAGGGTTTATCTACGTTTAGTTTGTTAAGTAGAAAAGTATTTTTAAGGCTATTAATAATTTAAAAACGACACTAATAATTTACCCCAAATTCAAGATGTTTTCAATACTTTTCATTTTTTAAATTTTTTTTATATACGATCATAGCTATTGGCTTTGGGTCAAAAGAATGCCTCCAACAGAAATTTTATAACTGAATCATATAATTCCAAAATGTTTGTACCAAACCACCAGAAATGCCATCATTACCCACACACACACACACACACACATATATATATATATATATATATATATATATATTGAGATTTGAGGGAGTGAAGATAGAGACCCTTTGCCTGCCTTTGCCTCCCTTAAAAGCTCCAATTTTGTATCTCTATTTCATTTACAATAATACTACTCACTCACGACTGTTTCACCTTTAATCAGTTGTCATCGATTCAAGCTTTAAATATATAGAAAATTTTGTTGAGAGTGTCACCTTCAAATGGGCTCTTTAGTGTGTAATCTAAATTTAATCGGACTTCAATACATGCTTCGAACATTTGGAAAATCAAAAATAAATAAAATAATACTCCCTTTGTCCCTAATTATTACTTGTCCACTTTTGAATTGGCACACGTATTAAGATAATAATTGACATAGTGAGTTTACCATTTTACCCTTATTAACTATGAAGTAGATGAATTAAAATCTTAAGATTTTCAAAAAGTTTTATTTTTTTCAAAGTAATTAATTGAGGGTATAATAGGTAAAAAAAATTGTTTTTTCTTGATTTGTCAAAATTGATAAATAATAGGGACAACTAAATAAGAAAAAGTGGACAAGTTATTAGAGACAGATGGAGTAATAGTCATGTACTCTTAGCATGTCTTCGACGCGCCTTTCCTTTCATTTTCATGTGCGCAAACAACTCTAGAGGAAGGGAACAAAGAATAATAAATATAAATATATATATATACACATAATTCTAGTAATAAAGAATGAATTATTATGAATTAATCAGAAAATTGTCATACAAAAATTACTTTCTTATTAAGATTTAATGACATATTTCTATTCACATCACCCCGCCCCTCAAAAATTATATATAGATTTTTTGGTAAATTAATTTAATATGGTCAATCAAACACTACATTACATTATGTAATGAAATCTTTCATGTCATCATAATCAACTACAGTATTATCTCGTACAAAATTTTATATTTGAGATTAATTATTCCAAGTTATCAACCAAACTAGCTCGAAGTGCATTGCAATCTAGCTATCGAGATTCAAGAGTAGCTTGATTCAACTACTTGTTTGAACCTAGCTATATAAACATATTTTATATACTATTATTAATTTTAAGTAAGAAAAAACATAAAAAATTTGGGAATGGATCTCATCATATTACTTAAATATATATACTCTTATCATTTATTAATTTTTCGTATGTGGTTGAGTAATTTGGTAGTCTTGTTCTGCAAACATTTCTAACACATACACATGTGAAGTGTAAAAGGTTGACATAATTGATCATTTTAGAAAATCATTAAACTCTTACTTTCTACCGCACGTTTTTAAAGAGATGGTATTATTTTTTTTCTTGTTAAAGGATTTTAAATTTATGACTAAGAGTATGACTCATGTTGGAGTGATAGAAGTGACACCAATTACATTCGAAGACAGCTCAAACATATTAGTGATCTAAATCCAAAACTGAACAAAGACCTTAAATTTTAGTTTTTTTTACTGAAGTTTATTATAGCAAATTCATTTAATTTTTCTTAAGACATAATGTTTTAGAATTGTCAAACTGCTATAAAAAAATTTCCTCTTACATGAAAAGTCTATATTTTCTCTCAATAATACTCAATATT